TCTACATATATAAATTCTCTTAGGAAAAATAATAAGGAATAAAAAAATTAAGAAAATTTCTTCTGGAATTTGTCAAAAGAGTGTTGTGTTATGCTTCATTTTAAGGTATCTAAATATGTATTTATTAGAAATTTTTTTAAACCAAGTTTAAAAAAATTGTTAAACCAAGAAAATTGTAGAGATTTATTTATTAATATATACTATAAATTATATAATAATATTGGAGGGAGTAAGTTAAAAAGCATTTTTAAATTTATAAAAAGAAATAAAAATACTTTTCAATATATCTGTTTTTTTTGAGGTAGATTTAAAGTTTCAGGTTTTCAAAATTGTAGATCTTTTTAATGTATAAATAGACATTAAGTATTTCTAAGTAGACATTACGTATATATAAAATCTTTTAAAATTTAATAAGTAATTATTTGTTTAAATAAGTAGTTAATTGTTATAATTTATTAAGATTTAAATTATTAGAAAATTCATGTTTACAGAGTTGTTATTAATCATTATCGAGTTGTTGAACCAAAGAAATTGTAGAGGTTTATTTATCAAATATATACTATATATATTGTAAAAAAAATTTTGGTTTTCATATGTTTTCACTAATAAATAGTTCTGTATATATATATATATATATATATATATATATATATATATATATATATATATATATATATATATATATATATATATATATATATATATATATATATATATATATATATATATATATATAAATATATATATATACATATATATATATATATATATATATATATATATATATATATATATATATATATATATATATATATATATATATATATATATATATATATAACTATATATAACTATATATAAGTATATATAACTATATATAACTATATATAACTATATATAACTATATATAACTATATATAACTATATATATCCTTGGAGTTGCGACAGCATAATAGTGTGTTAGGAGAAAAAAATTTATAAACCCGCGTTAATAACCTGTTTTCTATCGTACATAATGCATTAATAATGCATTAATAAGTTTTATTACGTGTTTTGTTCAATGTTTTCTCCCAACGCATGAACTATGACGCTGTCGCAATTTTTTGTTTTTTTTTATTAGAAATAAAATAAGTTTTAATAAGTTTTTGCTGATGTGGTTGCAGGTTTTTCTTAACTTCTATCAAATAAACTTAAGAAACCTGTATTACTTTTGATGAGAGCAAATTAATTTTATTTTGCATTTGTTTGGTTTCTTTATATATATTTGTTTTCAAATTTTTTTTTTTAATTTTTCGAGTATGATTTTTTTAGTTATAAAGTTTTTTTATTTTATTGTTAACTTTAGATTAGTAAAAAAAAAAGAAATAATTAGTGTTGCTTTGATAAATATGTTTAATGAAAATGATGACATTGAAATGGATGATAGGCTAGATGTGGTTTTGTATTTACAAGATGATGTAAGTGCTATAAGGCGTGTTGAAAATAATCGTAGACGAAATGAAAGAAATAGACTTAGGCGAGATGAAATTAATTGTTTACAAAATGAAAGAAATAGACTTAGGCGAGATGAAATTAATTGTTTACAAAATGAAAGAAATAGGCTCAATCGAGATAATGTTAATCGTCGCCAAAATGAAAGAAATAGGCTCGATCGAGATAATGTTAATCGTCGCCAAAATGAAAGAAGAGCTGTTGGACAAGGACGAATGTATTCTATAGCGAGAAGTAATGCTATTCCAGATTATAATTACTTAGGAGAAATGAATCAAATTTGTCAGCACTGTGGTGCTAAGAAATTTCCAGATGAAACACATTTTCTATGTTGCCATAATGGTAAGGTAGCTTCGCCTCCACTTTCACCAATTACACAAGCTTTACAGGATTTGTTTACAGGGAGTTATGTAGATTGTAATGCTAATGCTAATTTTTTAAAACATATTCGAAATTATAATGCCTGCCTTTCTTTTGCTTCTTTTACAGCAAATGTAGTTCAACCAATGAATCATGGGCTTCCATGTTTTAAAATATGTGGCCAGATTTTTCATCGTGTAGGTAATCTTAGGCCAGATCAAGATATTCCACCAATATATTCTCAACTATATATTTATGATCCACTTGCTGCACTAAATTTTAGAATGCAACACTATGCTAATGATCTTTGTTTACGTGATTTAATGTTTCAATTGCAAACTATAATTATGGAACAAAGTCCATTTGCTCTTGCATTTAAAAACATGGCTGAAGTAGAAGATGAAGAAATTCGTAAGGCGGCTATAGAAGGTCGCTCAGCTTCTGTTGTAAAAATGTCTTTACTTGAAGGCGGTGATAGATGTCGTTATAATCTACCTTCACATGATGAAGTTGCAGTTGTATTTGTTGGCGAAGATGGTGCTCCCCCAACTTCCAGGGAAGTTGTTATTTACCCAAGAGGTCATCCTTTAAAAATTGTATCAAGTATGTCAGCCAACTTGGATCCTATGGTTTATCCGCTATTTTTTCCAAGAGGCGATGCTGGTTGGCATAATCAATTGGTGCATAACCCTGAGCGTGCCACACTGGTTAGAAATCATGTTACATTATCTCAGTTCTACAATTATAGACTTTCTGTTAGGCAATTTTTCTGTTCATTATTTTATGGCAAGAAACTATTTCAGCAGTATGCTGTAGATGCTTATGTAAAAATTGAAGGCCAGCGTCTTGCTTTTATCAGAAATAATCAAAATAAGCTGAGAAGCGAGCAGTGCGATGCCTTACATGAACATATTAACAACATTGCCAATGATCGTAATATTAGACCAGGACGAGTAGTAGTTTTGCCATCATCTTATGTAGGAAGTCCTAGAGCTTTAAAAGAAAACTTTGAAGATGCTATGGCAATTATTAAAAAGTATGGTAAACCAGATCTTTTTATAACTTTTACTTGCAACCCAAAATGGCGTGAAATAACAGAAAATTTATATCCGGGTCAGAATGCGAATGATAGACCTGATTTGGTTACTCGAGTATTTAAACTCAAGTTAAATAACCTCCTCAATGATATATTCAAACATGGTGTATTAGGCAAAGTTGTAACGCATGTTCAGGTTATTGAGTTTCAAAAGCGTGGTTTGGCGCATGCCCACATTTTACTTCATTTAGCAAATGATAATAAACTTGAAACATCACAGGATATCGATAATTTGATTTGTGCAGAAATTCCAGATCCGATAGTTAATTGTGAACTTTATGATATTATCAAAACTTGCATGATTCACGGCCATGTGGGTACTGAATCCAAATTCTTCCTGCATGAAAGATGGGGTGTGCAGCAAAAAATATCCTAAAGATTTTAATGCCAACACAGTAGCTGTTCACAATGGTTATCCGCGCTATAGGCGTCGTGATAATGGGTTGGTTATCAATATTAAAGGCAACAATGTAGATAACCGTTGGGTGGTACCTTATAATCCTTGGTTATCAAAGAAATATCAAGCCCACATTAATGTTGAAGCTTGCATGTCTGTGAAGGCTGTTAAATATTTGTATAAATACATATACAAAGGGCATGATTGTGCGAATGTTTTGATAAATGAACAGGTTAATCACGATGAAATAAACACTTTCAGATCAGATTGTGTATTTTAGAGAAGGAGAAGAACAAGTGGCGTTAGATTGTGCTGCTCAACGTGATACACACCTTACGGCCTGGTTTAAATTGAATTCTGAAAATGAAGGAGCCAATCGCTATTCATATGTTGACATTCCATATCACTTTGTATTTGATGATAAACATTGTAAATGGAAGGTTAGACAAAGAGGTGGAAATAAGGTGATAGTAAGAATGTATAAAGTTAGTCCAACAGGAGAATTATTTTTTCTTAGATTGTTACTTTTACAAGCAAAAGGAGCAAAATCTTGGGAGGATTTGCGTACTGTTAATGGAATAGTTCTTGAAACCTTTCGTGAAACGTGTGTTTTTAATGGTTTGTTGCAAGATGACACTGAATGGCAGAATACTCTTTCTGAGGCAGTTTTAACACGAATGCCTAAGCAAATCAGGCATCTGTTTTCAATTATTTTAACCTTTTGTGAACCTGATGACCCTTTGCATCATTGGAATTCATACAAAACCTTTATGATGGAGGATTTTATTCATCGCCAAGTTCCATTTATATTAGCTGAACAAGCTACTCTTCTTCAAATCGAAAAGATTATTAATCAAAGTGGTAAAACGCTATCTGATTATAATTTGCCTGTTGTTGATGAATTCATAGATTTTAATCTAGAAAATTTAAATGATAATGTTCAGCAATCAATTGACGAAGCTAATCGAATGAGACCGCTTCTTAATGTCAATCAATTAAATGTAAGTAATGCATTGAACGAGCAACCATGTGTAGAAAATCAACATTCCAGATTGTTTTTTATGGATGGACCAGCCGGTAGTGGCAAAACTTTTACATATAATTGTTTGATTGCTGAAATGAGCAGTAGGGGTGTTAAATCTGCTACAGCTGCATAGACTGGCATAGCAGCAACTCTTCTTACAAACGGATCTACGCTGAACGGGTTATTTAAACTTCCTGTCCCAATACTGGATAACAGCACATGTAATGTGACTCCTAACTCTATTCAGGGACAATTTTTAAGGCAAGTTAGTTTGTTTATGCTTGACGAGACATCCATGATTCCCAAACACGCTTTATATGCAATCGATCGGTTGTTAAAAGATGTTTGCAACAACAACTTTCCATTTGGAGGAAAAGTCATTCTTTTTGGTGGTGACTTTAGGCAAATTTTGCCTGTTGTGAAAAGAGGGAGACCAGCTGAAGTTGTAGAATCATGTATAAAATGTTCTTTACAGTGGCAATGGGTGCAGAAGTTTACATTACCTGAAAATATGAGAGTACGTGATAGAGAAGGAGATTTTTCCGAATGGCTGCTAAAACTTGGTAGTGGAACAATAACTGGCAAAGAGGAAGATCCTTTTAAGGGATGTATTGAAATACCGCAACAGTGCATTATTAGAGAAAACTATGATTAGTTTAGTTTAATAAATAAAGCATTAATATTTAGAAGATTTAAAGTTTACTTTAGTTTATAGTTTTGGTTTAGTTTATAGTTTTGTTTTTAGCTTTAGTTATTTTTTTCTTACTTTAGACAACTTTATGGATGAAATGAGGTGGATGGGTAAAACAATTATTTAGATATGTATATATTTATATGTTAACATTATTTTATCGATTATTATATATTTATTTAAGTATATATTTGTCTTTAGTGTCAGGTGGAAGTATAGCTGGTAGGATTGTGTTTTATATTTTATATATTTTGTATGGAGAAATATATGTAATAGGTGAAAAAATTAATTAATAAATATGACACTTTTGAACTAGTTGCATTATTGCCCTATATATTTATTTAAATACAAAATATTGCATGTTTAACCCTTATTAATTTGCTCCTTTTTTTTTTTTTTTTTTTAGCATCTTCTGTTTCGAATGAAAATGGTGAGGTTATGCTACTTTTTTTTTTTTTAATAATTGCAAATGTATAATTTTTATTATACTCTTCTATTTTTAACTTTAGATATTTTTAAGATATATTATAACTTTTTATATTTATATGTTAACATTATTTTATCGATTATTATATATTTATTTAAGTATATATTTGTCTTTAGTGTCAGGTGGAAGTATAGCTGGTAGGATTGTGTTTTATATTTTATATATTTTGTATGGAAAAATATATGCAATAGGTGAAAAAATTAATTAATAAATATGACACTATTGAACTGGTTGCATTATTGCCCTATATATTTATTTGAATACAAAATATTGCATGTTTAACCCTTATTAATTTGCTCTTTTTTTTTTTTTTTTTCATCATCTGTTTCGAATGAAAATGGTAAGGTTATGCTAATTTTTTTTCTTTTTTTTAATTGCAAATGTATAATTTTTATTATACTCTTCTATTTGTAACTTTAGATTCCTTATCATTCGAACAATATTAAAATTATCGTTCCCAACACCCGGGACCTCTTTCAGAGAGGTTCTTCAATAAATGGAAACGTAATGGCGGTATGGATGAGCCCTCCTTTAAATGGAGGGCTCATCCATACCGGGGTGTTGGGAGACACCGAAGAAAAAACAGCAACCAAAAGGATGTAAATGTCTTCTATCAGTAGAGATATTTATGACATTTTAGTTGCTGCTTTTTCTTCGTTTTTTTTTTTTTTTAATTTTGTAATTTTTTGTTTGGTGTTTTTTTTTATTATAGTTTTGTAATTTTTATTTTAAATATATATTACGTTGTATATTTGTTTTGTTTTAATCTTTTTTAATAAAATTTTTAATTGTTTTCTCACCAATTAAACCTGACTTCAAATTTAAAGCCCTCTTAAATACCCCTCCCTAAATTCTAAAGTCGAAAGTTGAATTGATTCGTTATCCAATTATCATAATATAATGATGCTGCATTCTTTTGTTAAAAACAATTATTTGGTACTGCTTTTAAAATTTACCAAAACCCAAGGCAATATATTTAGCTATATAAATACAATTTATTTATCTCAATTCCATTCTTAATCTTTTATGTTTATAGTTTGGCTCCTTAAAGCATTTTATGTTTTTGCTCTTTTTATTATGAATATTTTAAATCCGTTGTGATGTCTTTTAAATTAAACTAAAGTTTACTAAAAGCCAACATAAAAATTACGTTTTTGAACAACACCAAAAGGAACAGCTGCATCCCTACAGCAACTGCTGCAGTATCACAATAGGTTACCAAAAGCAGGTATACTGTTTTCCAGTTGTTGTTTTTTTTTTCATATATATCTACTTATTTATATAATACTTTAGTACGATTGTTTATATCTCATTCATTTTTTTTTTGTTGTTTATCTTTAAGTGTTAATAATTTTAATCTTTGAATGATATTAGTTAAACAAGTCGGCTTTTCATTAAAGATATTGGTTTCAAAATTGAACATCATTGGCAAAATGCTTACAAAATTAGGTAGTTTTTAAAAATCTGTTTTCTACTTAATACACTTTTTTTTTTAATATACTTTTTTAATATACTTTTCTATAACAATTCTACTAATATGGAATCACGTAGCTTTTTAAATATGTTTAATTGTCGTCCCTATCGGTAATAAATATTTTAAATTATTTGATATGGTTTTCTTTACAATAGGCTATGCTTGGCTCCTCGGTGCTGTAAATGGTGGCTTCAACTTTGTTTTTTTTAAGAAAAATGTGTTTTATATATGCTTCTGTTTTAAAATATTTTTGTTACATATTTAACTATATATCATGTAAATAAATTTCTTTTAAAGATAAGTTAACTTAATACTTGCTTTTTTACGGATTTTCAAAAAGTGAACAAAGGTTTAAATATATTTTTTAACTGTCTTTTATGATTTTATTAATTTTATTAAATATTACTTCAAATATAAAATTTACTATATATAAATAAATAAAAAAATTACTTAAAAAATATTGAGTAAAATCTAATTGCTTTTATTATTAACCTGATATATACAAAAATTAATGAAATAAAACTAATAATCTAACGCCAAGTTAATGCAAAATGAAATAAATATGTTAATACACGTTAGCTATTATAGTAAATCCATATATTCCTTTGTTTTTTTATAAACAAGTTACTGCTGGATTACTAATTAAAAAAAAGGTTGGTTTAAATAATAATCTTTATCATAATATATAGGATCCGTATGCAGGGTAAGCCCTTTTCGGAATTGCGATATATTTTTCAACTTATAGTTTTTCCGGATATCCAACTTCTATGCCTGCAAGTTTGAGTGTAATATTTTAGATGTTTTAAAAAATATATTAATAACATTTAAAAGGTTTAGGTGCGATAGTGACATATTTTGAAGCTCTTCACTCAGTGAAATGAAAAGTTTAAAAAATAAAAAAATGACTCAGCTTAAAGCAAAGTTAAGAGCAGAATATATTCCCAATATTTACCTAAACAATTTTACGGAATTTGAAAATTTGACATCAATTTTCTGTGCATATAAGTTAAGTCATTTTGTGGTTAACTTTATCTTTAATGAAGCTAAGAGTTCTCTTAAACTAAGAAGCCAAGAAAAATAAAAGTGAGCTCAACTAAAACAAATGTATAAATAAATTTATATTTCATTAGAGAAAGTAAATAAAGATTAAATTGACAGTAATAATTTATTTACTACTAACCCGTATTACGGGTTGCTTACAGCTAGTCTTTATTAAATAAACGAAACATTTCAAATGTTCAATTTATTTAACAAAGAAGACATTTTAAATGTCTTCTTTATTAAATAAATCAAATATTTGAAATGTCATATAATGTCATATGTCATATAATGTCATATGTCAAATGTCATATAATGTCATATAATGTCATATGCCAAATGTCATATAATGTCATATGTCAAAAATTTGAAATGTCAGTATAAGTTTTTTTTTTATCATAATTTATTTATAATAGTTTAGATTATATAGCTATTATAAGATATATTATTAAAGGTATTATTAATATAAATGTGGCATTGTCAATGCCATTGTCAATGCCAATGTAAACTACAATGCCATTGAAATTGTTAGAAGCTGGTATTTTACATTTTAAATATGTCTCTTTTGTTTGATTTTTTTTTGTGTTTGGTTTCGAAACCCCATCTACTAACATATTAAAACAGTGTACAAAAAGTGATGCTACTAGAACTTACAGTCTACTTATGTAGAGCTTTTTAATATTCTATATTTCTGAGGTTTAATTACTTTGTAATTTAACAATTCTGGATATTTTTCATATTTAGTTTGCTTACAACAATTAACAACTTTAAGCTTATACATTAACTTTAGTTATAACTTAACTATTAATGGATTGATTTATAGATTTTTAAAGCAATACAAGATTGAATTTCGCAGAAAGCTAAATTTCTGCTCTAGAGACAAAGAAAGGAGGACAGCAAAAATGACCAATCAAAATAAAGATTAAAGAGAAAAAAAAAATTGGGTATAACTTGGTGTAGATGATTTATCCTCATTTTCTTATAATAAAACAAAAAATGTTAATAAATTTTAGGATTTACCTGTAACTCCAAACTCTTTACAGAAGTTCAATGTTTGCTCTGAGAAGTTGAATGAACAACTTTATTAAATGGTAAGTTTTTATATAAAAGTCTTTATGTCTGATGATTAAAAATTGTTATTCACAGCTTTACAATTTACAACTTTAAAAACTTTTTCATATATTACGGTCAAAAAGTCATAGTGTTAATTAACATTTTATTGTGTAATAATCAACATATCAAAGTTTGGTCGGGAAGCGAGAGCGATCGCTCTCTAATACTGACCACGGAAAAAATGGCTAGGTTTTCTAGTCGATTTAACGTAACAAAAATTTTTTGTTAGGTTTCAAAGTTGGTGTCACCAACTTTAAAATCTATTTGAATTCAACTGTTGAAAAAAACAACAGAGTTTTCATATCAGTTTAAAGTTTTAACAGTTGCTGGTGCTTTATTATTATTCATTATATAAACGTTTATTTAAATTTATATAATAGACGAAGGTAATACAATATTTTGATACATAATATTATTTTTAAAAACTGTATTATTAAAATTCAGAATTAAAATATGTAAAAAAAAAAATTCAAAAACATTGGACAACTTTATATTTTAAATAACCACACTTTTTATGGAAGTGAGGTTATTTGAAAAGAAATTTTTTTTTACGAAAAAATAAAACTATAATATTATTATTGGATAAAAGAAACAATTTTTAGATAAAATAAAAATAAAGTTTTTTACAGGAGAAATGTTTTTAATTCTCTTGTATTTTAATTTTGTGACTTGTCACATTTTCAAAACACAGCACTCGATTAAGGTATTATGTTTTTTTGGTGCTACCCATTTAATTTTTCTGAAACTTATGTTTTTCTTAGTGTTCGTTCTTAGTCATCCTTAATAATAAGATCCATACTAACATGTATAATAAGCTCCATACTAATATCCAACTTAAGTACGAATCCTGTTGGAGAAACATTGTTTTAATATGAATTTTTTTGTTGTACAGTGCAATCTGTATTTTATAAGATACACAAAACAATTATCGTTAATGTGTAAGCTTAAAGATTAACGAGAATTGTTGAAAAGTGTCAGTGCCAGAAATCGAATGCACACCTGCAAATTTCATAACTCATAAAAATATTATGAAGCTATTAGCAAGTATATATTTTTATAATTAAAAATTTGACCCTCTTTTTTAATTTTATCTGTTTTATAAGTGATTGTTGTAATTACTTTCATAAATTCTAAATATAATATGTAATTAGTTGTATAGTTTCTTAATAATACAATTAACTTTAATGTTCAAGATAAAGTTGTATCCTTGAAATATATGCTGGTATTATTGGCACAATGAGCAAGCATTGAAGTGCAACTTGGTGAACTACAAAGCACATCAAAATTAGTTATAAAAACTTGAGTAACAAAGGTATGCTAACTATTGTATTGCCTGAAAGAGTGTCATTGCCATTAAAAGCAGCAAAGAATTCAAGTACTCTGGAAGAAAAAAGACAAGAAAATACTTTAGTAAATAGTAAATTTTTTTTTATGATTTGTTTAGGCATTTTGTATGATATCTTAGTACAACTTATATTCTTTAAATAAAATACTCTTTGAAGATTTCTTGTAAATGATATTTTATATTAATTTTAGTCTAAACATTAGTTACTTTAACTATTGCCAGGTTCTGTACTTTTGCAGATCAATTATTTAGCACAAATTGGAG